CAGAAACATATTAGGGAAAATAGAGAGAGGTCCCGGACACTCCTCACCCAGCTTCTCCCATTGCTAACACCTTGCATTATTACACTGCAGTAGCAAAACTGGAAACTGACGTAGGTATCCTCCACAGAGCTTGTTCAGATTTCACTAGTTATGTGAAACATACTGTTTGTATGTACCACTCAGTGATATTTTATTACATGTGTAGCTTCATGTAACCACCTCTGAAACACCAGACTGTTCTCCATCTCTGTAATGGATGTTAATAAATCATAAAGTATGCATCCTTCTGAAATTGTTTTTTCTTTATTCAACCCAGTTTCCTTGAGATTCATCTAAGTTGTTGGATATTATCAATAGTTCTTTCTCTTCTACTGTTGAGTAGTATTTCTGGTACTGATGTACCTCAGTTTATTTAATTATTCACCCAATGAAAGAAATTTAGTAATTTCCAGTTTGGGGTTATTATGAATGAATCAACCCCACAACACTCATAGGTTTTTGTGTAAAAAAAAAAGTATTCAATTCTCTAGGTCATATCCTCAAACATATAATTGTTGGAGCATACCATAAGTTCAAATTTAATTTTAAAAAGAGCTCCAGACTATCTTTCAAGTGTCTTCTGTCACTTTATCACACTGTGTGAGTGATTTGGTTTCTCCAAATCTTTGCTAGTAGCACTTGGTGACATCACTATTTTTTTAAGTGTAGCCATTTTTGCAAGGTATGTGGTGATTGCTCATTGTGGTTTTAATTTGTGTTTTTCTAATGACTAATCATGTTAAACATCTCATGTGATCATCTGTCATCTGTTTGTCATCTTTGGTGAAACATCTGCATATACACATACTTGCCTATATTCTGATTATCTTTTTTGTTATTTAAATGTTGAGTTTGAAAAGTTCATTATAGTCTAATACATATTTTTTGTGTCTGATCTGTGATTTACAAATATTTTCTCCTAGTGTAATTTGTTATTTTTAATCCTTTTAACAGTATCTTTTACAGATCAAATGTCTTAATTTTGATGAGGTCCAAATATCACTTTTTTCCTTGATGGATCAAGAATGTTTTGTGTAGCTCTGGGTACCAAAGATTTTTTCCTAAAAGTTTTAAACATTTATTGTTTACATTGAAATCCATGATCCATTTGTGTTGATTTTTGTGTATGGCTTGAGGTCTATATTGAAGTGAATTTTTTTGCTAATGGGTGTCTAATTGTCCAATACCATTTATTGAAGAGAATATCTCTTCTGCATTGAAATGTTTTTATTCCTTTGTCAAAAATTAATTGGGCATACTTACATAATCTATTTCTGGTTCTCTATCCCATGCCATTTATCTTTTTATCAAGACAATACCATAATATTGTGATTGTTGTAGTTAAAGAGCAGTAAGTAATAACCATTATGGAGAGAGGGAAAAAGATTTCTTCTTGGGAGTTAAAAAGACAAATAACAACAAGGTGAGGAGTGTGGGGAAGACAGTGGGGAAGGGGGCCCAAGCCAGCTGCTTCTTTGATGCTCCTACCCACGTAGGGTTTGGCTTATATAATTTTGAGATAAAAGAAGTTTCTCAGGAAAAAGGTGTTACACTTGAAATCAGCTCAGGGCGGAAACAAAGCGGTTGTTTTTTGTGAGCATCATTTTTTTCCCCAGGTCATAGTTAATTTCCAGGCAGGGTGTATACTATAGGTCTTCAATTCATTATCTTTGCCAGGCATAATTTGCATATGAGAAAGGAAAGCACAAAGTAGATAAAAGATTTTATCTTAAGGAACCGCCTGTTTGGCCAGACATCAGAAGATTGCAGGCTTCCAGCTAGTTATTTCTTTTGACCTGTTTCCATAGACCAGACTGGCCACAGAGGACCATCACAGCCATTCTTTGTGTCCTGCCAATGTCTACCTCTGCAAGTCCTTTGGCTTTGCCCAGAACTTGTGGGTTTTCACTCACAATGCTATAGAGTAGTTCTTAACATTGGGAATCGTGTTTCCTCCTATTTTCACCATTAATCTTGATTTTAAAATGCTTTGTACCACACTTTTGTTTTTTGGAAGGGGCAGGGTTATGGACATCTCTTTATGTTTGGAAGCTGCATTTTGGGAGGAGGGGAAAGGGTGTGTCTGTTTCCCTCTTGGACTGGGAAAAAACTTTGAGAATTGTATGTAAAAAAGAAGTGAATTAAACTAGGGTGATGTCTTTACTCAAAGCAAGTTGTAAGGACTTGATGCCCATTCATTGGCTTCTTCCAGACCTTCACATGCATCAGATCACAGAGTAGCCTTTGGGCAGGGGAGGTCATAGTAACCTTGACCTTTAGATACATGGAGTGAGTCTACTTTAATAATAGGGCTTAAAGAAAAGGAGAGGATTTCAGTCTTAAACAAAGGTGTAATAATAGCTCCAAGAGATATAGAATACTAAATACAGTATGTGGTAGGCATGGCAGGTAAAATAAATGAAACACGTCGGGGTAAGAAAGGAAACCCAAGCTCATCTGATGGGGGTGCTTATGTGTTCCAGTTCACAGTGAAAACACACCCCAGTATTACCAGGTTTTCACCTTTATTTTTTTTAAAGATTTGTTTATTTATACATATAGACCTGGGGTACAGGCCAGAGGTACAGGGGGAGGAGGGGTGAGAATTCACCAGAGACAGAGTGGGGAGCAGAACAGGCAGGTCAACGAAGTACACTGCTGAGGGGAGCAACCGGCGGGCCAGGAGAGGTCTGCTGTGCCATGTGGTCAGCTCCCTGGTGGGGGATCAAACTCGTGCTGCAGTGGCTGCAATAGCTTCATAGTTCTGCGCTTTAGCCCGTTACGCCACTAGGGAGGGCCCTCAGATTTTTCACCGCTAAAGAAAATAAAAAACAACTTTTTTTGTGAAATCTCATGGCTTTCAATGTTGGGAACAGATTATTATTTTAAAGTAACACTGTTTGGGCCAAATGAGTTAGTCCATATGGGCACTAATCCTTTCCAAGATTGGCCAATTTGTTACATTTGGTAGTCAACTGGGTCATCCAGGAGTGTCTTGTCCTTGCCAGGCATGAAGGTATTATGTGATGAGCAGGGAAAAATTATTACGTTATTAACCTGTGCAATTAAGTTGTCTGTCTCATCTGCTTCCAAAGGGCCCGAGGGTGCAGTTTATTTGCCTATGAAGCTATTGCAATTGTGTCTACATTATTTACTTACTTTCCTGTTTAGTTTTAAGCTGTCAGAGTCTAGCCAGCTTTAGCCCATCTTTTCCTAATCATTTATCCTATCAGGTTTCATGGGATTTGACTGTCTTACTTGGCTGAGAACTAATGGGCGATTCCTCATTTAGGAGTGATAGACTTGTTAGGGAGGGAGCCTGACTCTGTGTGTGTGTGTGTGTGTGCATTCAGGTGTGTGTGACAGTGAAGGAAGGGAACAGAGGTCAATATCTTGGTGTGGAAAACTTGGTCTAATGCAACAGCAGCAGATCTATGAAGTCAAAACTATTTTTGTAACAATATAGGGCAGCATTTGCCTTTTTTCCCTGCTCATTTTTTTTTATGCTTCCAGTAGAATTTTCAGAAGATACATGGCACACAGGGATACCATTACCCTTTTGGGCTAACGAAAGATGTATATCTTTGTTTTTATATTTTAAAGTTTGTCATAAAGCACTGTTCATTAAGAGTATAAAGAAAATCAAGGCGTTTGAGGACAGTTGGTTGAGGGTAGTAGTGGTCAACCCTGTTGGGGAACTTTACTGAGCTAGCATCTGTGAATGACCATGGTCCCCACCATAGTGTCACTATCATCTTCACTTACAACTATTCAGGAAGGCTGATATGATCTCACTATACAAGAGGAGAAATTTGGATCAGAAAACCTAAAGTGAGCAAATTCACAGAACTGGGACAGATGGATACCAAGATTCAAAATCAGTCCTCACTGCTATTTATCTGTGTGTTAACTAGAACAAAAGTCTCCATGATAGCTAGACAATGAGTTTACTAAATCATCAAAGGGATGAGTCAAACCTGGGAAGCCACCCAATGCAGTTTACTCTGTGAGAACTGTCCCAACAATCACAAGTTTGAGTTTCATTGATAGGAACAATTTTGATGTCATTGATATTAGAATATAGTTATTCTTGTGGTCTGCATTATACGAGTCCCCCTTTCCTTGTCACGTGAGACCCTTCCTCGCTCTTTGAAGCTCCAGGCCCCTATTTCATTCTTTAGCTCAGTTTATGTACCCTCATTTCCTAAAATTTGGAATTCACATCTCTGTGAATGCCCCATAACATGTAATTGAATGGCCTTCTCCTAGTAGTGTGCCTGATATTAATTTGATTGCTAGACATCAGCCTGGGAAAAATATAGAAGAGTGGGGGGCAATTTCCTTTTTTACTGAGACATGTTAACCTGCCAAATATGAGGATGCTGCAATCTCCAGGGGCTTGTCATGAAAAGAAATCTTCAGAAATGACCAAACCAACTAGGCTTGACACAGCAATCCTGAGCTTTTTTTTTTTTTTTTTCAAAAAGGTATTAGTGGCCCTCCCTGGTGGCGCAGCGGGTTAAAGCACTGCACTGAGAAGCTAAAGCCACTTCCACATGAGTTCGATTCCCGCCTGCCCCAGAGGTGACCACATGGCGCGCCAGACCTCTCCTGACCCGCCCGCTGCTCCCCTCAGCAGTGTACTTCGTCGATCTGCCTGTGCTGCTCCCCACTCTGTCTCTGGTGAAGCCTCTCACCGCCCCTGAGCCTCTGGCCTGTACTCCAGTTCTGTAGGCACAAATAAATAAATAAATCTTTAACACACAGAGGGCTGTGGCAGCCCACAGAGGAAGCCATCCCTTGGGGAGGGTGCTCAGAGGGCTTCAGTTAGGAGAGGCACAGGAGGAGGCCTCCCCATTCCCAGGGCAGGGACCAGGCAGATATTCCAAGCTGAGAGCATGGCCCCTGCCTTGTGCTTTCCACAAGCACAAGCATGGCTTCCCTACAGCGTGATTGCCGCCATGGATGATTCTACTCGAGAACCTCGCAGCGCATGGTTGCGGTGCGTCATAGTTGACATGTTACAACTACTCATCCTTGACATCACTGGCCCATGTGTGGCTCCTGCCCCCCCACCCCCACTCCCAACAAATGTCTGGGCTCCTCACTGAGGGCTGTGTCACCTGACAAGCAGAGCCCAGTAGGGAAAGTCCCGTGTCGCCCACCTGTGGGCAGGTCAGGCCTGGCTGCATTGGCAGGAGCCGTGCCCTGGGGAACCTCCTGGGTTCCACTATTGTGATTGGTCCTGCCTGTGAGTTCCCTGTGGGTGTGCAAAGATACCTCGCAGAGCCGGCCCTGCCTTACAGATGCTGGGCTTCCGGTGCTTCCTGCCTTTGTTTGAACCATCCCCAACTCTCCCTCTGTCCTCAGTCCCACAGTGAGAGAATCTGTCCCACTCAGGCATTGCTGGTGGCATGATGCCACAGTGGGGGGAGTGAGGGGTAGAGACAGTGCGTTAAGAAGTCTGATTAACAAGTACAAATCCCCTCTATAGCTCAGACACCTGGCTAAGTGTTGCTCATATGAGTAGGTATTTTAATCCTCACACCCTTTTTGGCTAGGTGCTATTATTACCCCTATTTCACAGATGAGGACATTGAGGTTTGTTTTAGCTCCTAAAGCAATAAGTAACAAAACTTGGATTTGAACCCATTTGTCAAATTTGAGAACCTTGTGTTTACATACAGTACGTGCCCATATCCTTGGGTTCTCTTCCCCAATTCTAGGTATCTGTGGCCTGAAAATAGTGTGTACAATGGGGACAGGGAGGGAGAGAGAGAGAGAGGAGTTGGTATATTCATATCACGTTTATTACAACATGTATTGCTATAATTGTTCTATTTTGTTATTAGTTGTTAACCTCTTACTCTGCCTAGTGTATAAGTCAAACTTTATCATAGGTTTGTGTGTATAGGAAAAAACTGTACTTATGGGCTTCTGTACTGTCTATTTTTAGGCATCCACTGGGGGTGTGGAATGAATTCTCTGTGAAAAGGGGGTGATTAATGTACGTGATAACTTGCTTGTCCAGGCCAAACTGAAAGCTTAGGGGTGGGAAAGAGATTCAGTGGGCTGTGAGGTCTGAGCCCACAAAAAAGGTCGGGCTGGGGCTGGGACCCTCCAGTGTGGCCATTCTCACAGTGAACTGTTCCTTTCTGGTCATGTCGAGGCCCGCCGGTAAAGGGCAGCTCTCCAGTGAAATTCTGCATTCACGACACAGATCACAAAGTAATAGTCATGGACTCTGGGACCCTCAAAGCCATTCCATATAAAACCTTCATTCTCCCAGGTGACTCCCAGGCAAGGCTGTGTTTTCTGTCTACCCCCCATTCCATCCCCACCTCCAGGGTAAGGCCTTCCTTAGTGAGGCTGTATCCCATTCCAGCTCCAGCAGGGCAGAGTTGCCCCAGAGACCACTAGGAAGTGGATGTAAGAACCCCATATGAGGGAAGTCTTTCTGGAAGGGCTGGAAGAAAGATGGCACCAGACTGTGGAAGACGTGGAGCTTGGACCAAATGAAGGAGGGGACTTTGACCACAGAGCCAAGGGGTGGGGGTAATACGGCCTGAATGAAACCCCAGCTGTCAGGAAGGCCTCTTCCTTTCTGTGAGGACCGACCTGTTTTCCTGACTCTTTTTCTTTTGTTTTTCTAGAGACTTTCTTTTTATTAGGTGTCAGTTGAGCTCACTCTGTAAGGAGAAAGGAGGGCCAGTTTTCTGGGCAGTCTTCAAAAGAAAACATTGTCTCTCTTGTGACTAGGCCAAAGGACAAAGCCAGCCGTCTCTTCAGCTGAAGGTGAGCATTGCAGCCCAGTGTCGTTTATGTTCAGTCACCCCAAAGTGGAAAGCAAGCCTACTTATTGCCTCATTTGCCTCTCCACAAATTCTTATCCTGACCAACGGAACAGGCACATCCTTCTTCCTGGAGTGTTGGGTAGCAATTTCCTGTCCAGTTCTTGGCTCTGTGCTCCAGGAATGCACATGTTGAGTGGGCTGGCTTTTCTCTCTCTCAGAGGCAATCCTATCTCAGTATCCCCTTCACTTCCTAGAAGAATCTTGAAGACCTGTCAGCCCAGAAGGAACGAGCACTTCAGCCCTTCATCTTCTATAGGACTCAGGTGGGCTCCCTGAACACCCTGGAGTCGGCCACCCACCCCGGCTGGTTCATCTGCACCTCCTGCAATTCTGGTGAGCCCATTGGAGTGACAAATAGTCATGAGAAAAAGAAACACATAGAATTTTCATTTCACAGAGTTCCCAAAGTTGAAGTCAACCCTAGTGAGGTCAATGAATAAGCCACTACCTCATTGAATGTCCTCCCGTGCTCTCCTCACTAATGCAGACCTATCACAGGACTGGGACCGGCTCCTTAACGTCTTCCATTTTGTATTAGTACTTTGAGTATCTGTGTCGTTGGGGGTAAAAGACTTATATGTCAGTGCTTACAGAGTTCTTAGGTGAAACAAAGTCATGACTGGATGAATGCTGTTTCTGTTTGTGGCCTGCTTCCCTGGACATCATCCGAAGGGTGGGCCATGCTGTGGGGTTTTGCAGGAAGAAGCAACTGGCTGGACTCTGCTCCAGAGCGAGTTGGCCCCAGTGGGGCTGGACAGGTGCTGGTGCAGAAGCACAGAGAGGGGTGAGTCTGTGTCTAGGACACTGGGAAGGAAGAAGCAGCAAGTCACCATCCTCTGTGATAAGTGGAGACGGGGCAGGGAAGGAGCCAAACGTGGGAGAGCCTAGACTGTTAAGTGAAAGGCCTGCCCAGCTCTTCAGTTATAAGCAGCAATAATTGATTCAGGCTTATTGAGCAAAAAGTATACTAAAATGAACAAGAATGTCTTAGAACGACATTGGGTGCCTCCATTTCTTGTGGCTGTTGTAACACATGACCACATAATGTTTTAAAACAATGGGACTTACTATCTTCCCATTCTGGAAGTCAGAAGGAAATGGATTTCACTGGGCTAAAATCCAGGTGTAGGCAGGCTGTATTCATTCAGAAGATGCTGAAGGGGGAATCAATTTCTTGCTTTTTCCATCTTCTAGAAGTTACCTGCATTGCTTGACCCCTGACTCCTTTCTTCAAAGTCAGCAGCGGCTGGCTAGGTCTCTCAGTCACTACTCTGTCCCTCTTGCCTTCCTCTTTCACTGCTAAGACTCTGATGACATTGGACCCACCAGATAATTCTGACTAATTTCCATCTTGAGCTCTTTCATTTAAGTACCTCTGTTCTTTGCCATGTGGCATAGCACATTTACAAATTACGATGTGGACAGCTTTGGGGGTCATTATTCTGCCTATGACAGACATATAAGGAACTGAAAGAAATTTTCAACAGGTCAGAGGTGACAGGAGCCTGGGAAACCTTGGCTCAACCATTTAGCAAAAGATTCAGATCCTATGGCGAGCACGTGACTGCCCTCAGTTGGGTCATGTGTCTACTTATAGCAACTGCCCCTCCAGCATACTCCGTCTTGTGTCCAAGCAGGCCAGTGAGGTTCTTCAAGTTGAACTGGAGGCTTAGTCTCAGGAAAAAGGTGTGTGGATGCCAGGCAGGAAGGCAAACCGTCAGTGGTAACAAAGAACATGATGGTCCCAGCCTCTGAGGGTCAAGGGGAGAGTTCCCGCAAGGTCAGCTGCTTCTGTTTCTGACTTGATGGTGATGTTGACAACACCAAGGCAGCAGTTAAAGAAGAAGTACTTAGGATTTTTGGCATTTAAAAATGTGGCAGGTACTGTGATGTTCTTGGAAGGGGAAGATGTCTTCTCACCATCATAGAACCTCTTTGACAACCAAGAAATAGCTATTCAAATTAATTTTGGAGTTTGTCCCAAGCAGTGAGGATTCTGGCTGCCCTAGGAACAAGCAAAGAGATGGGGTTCACTGACCATGGCTTTGAGGAGGCTGACTAAGCACTAACAGAAACAGGCACAGTTTTACTCCACTTTCTTCCAACCTAGTGACCTGTCACATCTTGCTTTGCACTGGCCACAAGGCTTCTGGGAGGCTCCGGGTTCACAAAGTTCCCAGAACAGGTGCTGGTGCTCTGCCGCCTTTATTGTTACAAAGCTCAGGACATGGTTATGGTGATTATGTAGGTGTGTCACCCCACTTAGTTCCGCTAGTTGCTCCCCACTCCCAGCACTACTCACCTCTTTACTGGACCTATTTTTGGTTTTTCCAATTACACAATTTAATTTGATTGTTAATATTTATTGCTTGTCTTCCACTGGAATGTAAATTTCATGAGTGCTTTACCCTCTGAAATAGCCTAGGAACCTACCACAGTGACTGGCATTGGTAGGCACTCAGTAAGTTTTGGATGCATGAATGAAGGCAGATGAAAGACATCAGGGAGATGGAAATCATCGCTATTTAAATGATGGTCTTCTTGATGCTAATATAACATCTTCTGTAACGCGGATGCATTTTGAAAAAGCTGTATGAAACAAACTCAGGGGTTTTGAATTTCATTTTCTCAGTTGTCATGAATGGTGTTTAGTGAAAAAACTTTCAGCCTTATATACCATCAGAGAATCCCAGTGTGCTAGTTTCCAATGTAACACACACTGGGTGGTTTACAACAGTTCAGTTGATCTCACACTGCCCTGGAGGCCAGATGTGTGAACTCTAGCAGTGAGCAGGGTGGGGTCCTTTTGAGGATGTAGGGAAAGTCTGTTCAAAGTCTCTCATAGTTGTTGGTGTTTCTCAGACTCTGGCATTTCTTGTCTTGTCAATGCACCTCTCCAGTCTCGGCCACTGTCACATGCCTTCTCCTTCTCCCTGCCACTTATGTCTTCCGTGGCATTTTCCTCTATGAGTGTCTGGATCCAACTTCTCCCTTACAAGAATACCATCATATTAGATTAGGACACATGCTGATGACATCATTTCAAATTGCCTCTGAAAAGACCCTATTTCCAAATAAGGCTACATTCACAGGTACCAGGACTTAGGACTTTGGATTGGGGACAAAATTCAACCCATGACACTTCATATTCCAACTGTTCACCTCAAGGAATTCTCTATGCCTGCAAAAGGGTCATCTCAAGCATTTAGTTTGCAGCACCTTTACCAGAGGTTCCTCTCACATCTGGCCACCCCTCCTGCCCCTATTCAAGGTCCTGGGGTAGGTGGGGGCAAGAAGACTGCCTTGGGAATAGAAAGAGTAGACATTTATTTATCCTGTGTTGTTCTTGGGAAAAATTACCCAGCACAGTGCATAATACACAGCCTTAGGAGTTGTATACCCATTGTTTAGGTTATTAAAATTGATTCTTTTTTTAAAAAAGATTTATTTATTTATTCGTACAGAACTGGGGTACAGGCCAGAGATGCGGAGGGTGAGAGGATTCACCAGAGACAGAGTGGGGAGCAGAACAGGCAGATAGATGAAGTACACTGCTGAGGGGATTAGCAAGCGGGCAGGAGACGTCTGCCCCGCCATGTGGGTCTCCTCCAGGACAGGTGGGATCGAACTCATGCGGAAGTGGTTTAAGCTTCTTTGTGCTGTGCTTTAACCCGCTGCGCCACCAGGGAGGGCCTAAAATTGATTCTTTTAAAAAATAATATTTATTTTTAATTGTTATGTCTATTTTTTATTACAATTTTCCTAATCAATTAAAAAAAACTGGGGACACATTTTGAAATGGGGGTACTAGTACATTTTGAACTCACACATAAATTTAGAAGGATTTAAAACAGGAGCTGACCGACATCTTCAAAGATAGAGCACCCAATGTAATGATAGTGAAGGTAAGGATAAATAGATGGGACTACATCAAGTTAAAGAGCTTCTGTGCAGCAAAAGAGACATTACAAAAACAAACAGACATCCCACTGATTGGGAAAAAATTTCCTCACACAAAACTAGCAATAAAGGATTGTGATCACAAAAATATATGGAGAACTGATGAAACTCAACAAAAATAAAAAAAAAACCAGCAAAAAATGGGCAAGAGAGCTAAAAAGACACTTCTCCAAAGAAGAAATGCAGATGGCCAAGAAGCATATGAAAAAATGTTCAACATCACTTGTAATAAGGGAGATGCAAATTAAAACCACAATGAGATACCACCTCACCCCAGTGAGAATGGCACATCTTCAAACAACTAGCAACAACAAATGTTGGCGAGGATGTGGAGAAAAAGGAACTCTCCTGCACTGCTGGTGGGAATGCAAACTAGTGCAACCACTATGGGAAACTGTTTGGAGTTTCCTCAGACTGCTAAAATGGAACTTCTGTATGACCCAGCAATCCCACTCCTAGGTAACTACCCAAAAGACACAAAAACACTGATTCAAAAAGATACCTGCACCCCCATGTTTATTGCTGCTTTATGCACAATTGGAAAGACATGGAAACAGCCCAAATTTCCAAAAATGGATGACTGGATTAAAAAGATGTGGTACATATACACAATGGAATATTACTCAGCAACCAAAAAAAAGAAACACATGTCTTTTGCAGCATCTTGGATGGAGCTGGAAAAGATCATGCTTAGTGAAATAAGCCAGAAAGAAAAGGTAAAATACCGGATGGTTTCTCTCATAGCAGGAATATAACGGAATAGGTGAGAAAATAATGATAATGATGAACAGCTATATACCAGAGACATTCTGTGGGGGTGGAGTGGGGAATGGGATTATAAAACAGTATGGGGAGGGAAATGTACTGGACTGTGGTGGTGGCACATGGGTGATTTGGTGATGGGAAACCCAAGGGGATTGCAATTGAGATGGAAAAATACAAAAAAATATGAAACATAAACTATTATAAAATTAAAAAACAAACAAACAAAAACCAGGAGCTGACATTTAGTTTTTCCCACACAATCTGATGGACTGATGGCTCACCTAATCACCACCCTCTACCCCATCACAGCCAGAATAACCAGTGCTGTGTTTAGGGGCCAGTTTTCTGGTCTGGGGAGGGAGTTCTAATCGTAGCTCTCACCAAGTCTATGGTCTGGGAGTAACAACTCCCAGCGGGTCAGTCTTCAAACTCTCAACCTGGGAAATCCTGGATGGTTTCATTTATAGGTGGAATAGAGAGGACAAAACACACAAAGGAAAGGAACAAGCAAATCTAAACCAAAACAAACTCAAGAAACATGACAACAGAACTAAGGCTGCTGTTGGGAGAAAGGAGTGGGGACAGGTGGGGAGGGCCCCCCCCCGCCTCCATTAAGGACCGATGGGTGCCTGCATGGTGGGTGTGTTGTGGTGACTTACAGCTGAAGAGGTGTGAAGCTGTAACCTAAATTTAAATCTGTAAATCTAAATCATGTCCAGTGTTGTAAACCAATATTGCCTCAATAAAGAAAAACAAAAATAAAAAAATCCTGTTGATATGGGGTCCCAGAACATGGTGTTGGGAAGATTCGCTAACAACTAGCTTTTGCAAGCAAGGCAGAGGTGACACTAGGGTCTTCTGGAACCACCTTTAAGATCTTCATCTTAGAACAAGTGTAGTTGGCAAACTATAGCCTGTAGGCAGAATCCAGCTTACCATCCACTTGCATGGTTTGCTCACACAACCCCATGTTTACTGGCTATCCACAGCCACCTTCATGCTACCACAGCACAGAATGTGGCTGTGGCCTTCAAAATCTACAACAGAAAGTGTGCTGCCTCCTGCTCTAACAGGCAAGAGACACAGACAGACTGCAGCCTGCAGACGTCCACCACGTCACTCACAACGTGAAGAAGCAATTTGTTTCCACAAGTGAAATGCATTGCACGATAGGCTGGGTTCTCTATCTCACTCTCAAAACCCTACGATGTTTTTTATTCTTATTTTAAAAATTTGTTTATACATATAAGACCATCTCGGGTGAAGGCCCGAGATGTGTGTGGTGATGGTGGTAGGGGGGTGAGAGGATTTACCAGAGACAGAGTAGGGGGGCAGAACTTGGCAATTTTTAGTAGGAAAATGCATTCTAAGTTCCACTGACCAGGGAATCTGGAATCTTCTGGATACTAACTTATACTTTTCCACAACCCTGTTGCAGAAGGTGCTGGTCACAAAACTCGGGCAGGATCAGGGCCACTTGGTCTAAGAGGGCAGGGACAGGCTTTGCAGAGCATGCAGAGGGCCCTGTGGGCAGATTTGGATATGTCAACCAATAGACCAGCCCCAAGTTTTGTTGGAGAAACAGGATTTTCTTACCTGTACAACTTCTAAAAATTTTTTTAAGTTTAATTAAATTTTAAAATCTTTATTTGATTTTAATGTCCTTACATTGCTGTTCACTTGTATACAGTATTTGATTTCTCTTCCAAAGTGTAATCATGATAATTCTCCCACCATCATATCACCTGTGAAGTGTCACCACAGTCCCTTATGCTCTTCCTACCCTGTTTTTGTCCCACTCCTAACCCTCCCCTGTTGGATGCCTCAGACTGTAGTTAGCCTGAAGGTTTTGCCTTTTTCCTGACCCTTTGTTCAGTTTCCCTATAATTCTACCTGTAAGTGAAACCACCCATATTTTTCCACTTCCTTCTGACTTATTCCACTCCATCCATGTTGCTGCAAATGACAGTGTATCTTTTTGATTGCTGAGTAATACTCCACCGTGTAATATACCACATCTTCTTCATCAGTCATCTATTTTGAGGCATTTAGTTTATTTTCACATCTTAGCTATTGTAATGGTGCTGCAATAAATATAGAAGTGCATTACTGTACAAATATTGGCAGCAAAAGGGGTTGAGTCTTCGTAGATAGCTTCCTAGAGAAAAGACTTAGGGGAGGTTTTAAAAGGAAGAAGGATAAAATGAGACAGAGGAGCTTTTGGTGATTGGTTGCTGGAGGCACTGGGCAGTGCTGACCATTTGTGCATGCTTTGGGGCAGTTCATGCTTCCTCGCTTCAGAAAGTAGCAGCTCACCTCCTCTTAGAACATTAATAAAGCTGTGCATCTCCAATCACGAAAGGAAAAATCACACATACTCTGGATTCATCACATGCTGGTAAGGGCTCAAACCAGATGGGGGTGGTTGGAATCTGGCCCTCAATACAACTGAAATGTGATTTTTGTCAGATGACAAAATTACTTATGAGTAAATCAGTTATGTAGATGCTAACTGCCCCGCTGACCCAGCTATTAGTCATCTAACCCCTTAGCTTCCCAGTATTCTGAGGATCTAGAATTAACTGTCTTAACCATTTGTTTCCTGATTCACTGAGGTCTTGGTGTGTTAACATTCCCTAGGGAAGAGACATCAGAGCAAAGAGTGGGTGTAAGCTAAGCTCATCGCAGGAGAATTTGTTGCCACCTTGAAGGAGCCCTGTTGGGTTTCTGTGACCTGCTCTGGACTCATTGTCACCAGCTCCTCTCATCTGCTCAAACCCGTGCTCTGCCCTGCCCCTAGGAAGACTGACAGACAGCGCCTTGACATCCCCTTTGGACAGTGAACCCTCTGAAACCACTTCTGTTTACACATGCAGCTGAATCGGTGGTCCCGGAATTTAGCCAGCCTCTATACACATGGCCAAATTTAGAGCTGTGTTATCAGGAGCTCACCAGTACAACTTGGTTATATCTGGGGAAGCACCATGGTGAGCTCAGGTGTGTTTCAGAAAGCAGCAAACCCACAGGTGCTGAGAATATTGCTCTCTGGAAAATGATTGCAGCCTAGCATCAATCAATCACAAAATATCAATCAAAAAGCATTCTATTTTTTATTTTAAGTTTTATTTATTTATGCACACAGAACTGAAGTACAGGTCAGAGGTGCAGGGGCGGTGAGAGGCTTCACCAGAGACAGAGTGGGGAGCAGGACAGGAAGATTGAGGGGAGCAGCCGGCGGGTCAGGAGAGGTCTGTCGCGCCATGTGGGACACCTCCAGGGCAGGGATTGAACTTATGCTGAAGTTGCTTTAGCTTCTTAGTGCTGTGCTTTAACCTGCTGCGCAACTAGGGAGGGCCCGTATTCTACTTTTTACTGCCCAAATTACATCCGAATTAAAGGGGCACATGATACTGAAAACAAGCCCATGTACTTGTCAGGTGAGGACGACGGGTTGTGGGGAGAAGATATTTTTATTTTCCTATTCGCTGTGGAAACAAACTGTGAGACTCAAATAAGCAGGAGCTCTTTATCAGTGCTGGCGGTAGCAAGACAGTGAGCTTCACTCATAACATTTGGCAGAGACTACAAGCAAGTAGAGAAGTGGGGAGGCTTTATGGTGAAATAAAAATTGCATTTCAGGTATGCATTGAAGGAGTTGTTGGTATGAATCATTAATAGAGGAAATGTTTCTTTTTTTCCTTACTATTTTTTTTTAAATCAAGTCCTGACTGTTCTAGTCCAATTGCTATAGGGGTTAAGGATTAGACTTCTACTGTTACGCATATTCTCGGTATCATCAGTTTGTATAGTCAGTCTCACGCACCCTGAGATTCACATAAAGGTCTCCAAATTGAAAATAAATGTTGTTTTCATTGCCAATATCCATGGTTACTCCCACAGGCTGCCTGGGTATGTTGGAAGTGTAGATGAAGTACCCTGGATTTGCAGCAGACTCCAAAGTGAAATAGGAGCCAATGTCCTTCCTGATGAAGGTGTAGGGCAGACGCGTTTCCTCCATCAGTGAGTTCAGCTGGGTGATGTCCATCTCCTAAAACATGAAGGAGAGCTTATTAGTGAGCTGGGTTCCTTGGGGGAGGAACATTTAGGGCAGTCAGTCTCTGTCAAAGTTTAGGTTTTCAGCCTCAGTGTTAAGACTTCCCATGTCCCTGGATTGAGGGAAATTACTTCCACAGATCTCTTACCTTCAGTTGTAAAGAGGGACATGTCGGCTCTTTGGCACAGTAGAGGCACAACTTCCCTTCGGAGACAGCTAAAAAAATTTGATTTCGTGCCATGGTATCAGGGTTAGCTGTTTGTGAAGCTAGTATATAAAAGGTTTCTGGAAACAGTCAGAAAACTGGGTCAGTGTTCAAGTAGAAAAGGGATCTTTCTCTTGGTTGATATTTTGGCTACAACTCACTTCCCTTTAGCAATATGACCAGATCCTCATTCTGGAGTTGGCCCAGCTCCGAGGACTTTTGTATTCTCAGAATTTCCCTCTTCCTGTGCCTCAGGCACCTCCTTTCTCCTAATCCTCCCAGGGAAACTTCTAGATCCAGGACTACTGTGTGTCCATCTCTCTGTCCTCACTGCTGTCCAACGCCACCTGGCCCTTGAGAGTGTTCTCAGGGAGCATTTTTATTTTTTATAATATAATAGTTTATTTTTACATCATTTTCTACATTTTTTTTTTCATCTCAATTTGTAATCCCCGTGGGTTTTCCATCACTGAGTCACCCATGTGCCATCACCATAGTCTCAGGGAGCATTTTTTTGTCCACCCCTGAGCTATTACATTGGGAGCCAGCCCTAAGCAGGCCAGGTGGGGAATGAAAGAGAAGAAGAACTACTTGTGCTGCAAAAAGCAAGAATTACCTCCAGTTATGCTTTTTTTGTCTTCCAGGGCAAGGAGGACCTCTTCTGATAGGACCAAAACTCTCTGGTTTGGGTCTCGAAGAATATGCCTCTCCGGGATAAGGGTCTTGATTTTTTCACCTGAAAAACAGTACCAGAGATTATTCACAGTTAACATGCCTCATCTCTCCAGTCTCGGCCCCCACCTTGCCCTGTGGATTCAAGTGAGATGGACTTCCCTAGTTAGATTTTCACGCTGAGCCACTCATCCTTTTATGGAGGAACTTCAGTGATTAACTATGTGTGCTCTAGAGTCAGACAAGTTGGGGGTGAAATCCCTATTCAGTGACTCATAAACTGAACACATTTCTAAAACCTTGAAATCTCATTTTGCTCACCTGTGAAATGAGGATAATAAAAGTGATCTTAGTGTGTAGGATTGATGTGAGGATGGAGGGATTCAATGAAAAGCCATCAGCATGACTAGTAGCGTAATCACGCCCAGTGGACCTTTATCATTATTGTTAGCAGGAGTAATATTGAGCACCCTCTCTTTTGCATGGATCTTGGCCATGTAGGCTACCAGTTGGGTCAATGGTAAAAACAGTGGAGGGTAAGAATGATGGGGTGACACAGGAAGCACCCTGGGGTAGCAACTTTGTATTGAAAGGGGATGAAGATGGCAGGAGGTTAGAGGAAGAGGCAGAGGGGCTGTGCCTGCTCTTGGGGAGGCAGGGTGAGTGGCAGGACCAGCTGCAGTTGTGGCCACTGAATATAGGGGGGTCTAGGCATTGAGTCAGGTCAGTCCTGCTTCAGGGGGACAATCTTAGACCAAGGACTTGCCCTGTGACACCTCTGATTAGGGCAGGTGACTGAACAGAGGCTCTGCGTGGGGTAGGGGCATGAATTTACGTATAAGACTGATGAAGTCTCATTTTCATGGAGTCTGCTTAGACTAACAAATGTAAGGTGTGATCATGTGATACATTACCTTGTAGAATATTAATTATACTATATAATTACATATATATAGAGAGAAACACACGTAGTCTTGTTACATTAGTAATCATTCTGTATAATTATGTACACATAGACACAGAAACACACATATACACACACAGTCTTGGTTTCTACTCACCCATGATTATGGCCCCTTTAACCGGCACCCTGGGTTCGTGTTCTCCTCCCTGCCTGCCAGCTGCTCTCCACATTGTCCCAGCTCACATCTACTCCTCCCCCAGCCCCTCAGAAGGCTGCCCCAGCCCTTGGCCTGTAGTTGGTAAGGGCAATGGCATTGTGATACCTCTATTGGAGTTACTGCATCCTTAGGTAGATTAGTTATTTTTCAATTTTTTAACTTTAGATGCATAGTCTCAGAAATGTTTATTAGAAAACAGCTACAGTTCTTTGGAAGTTCAATCTTTTGTGGAGACAAATATACGTACATAACACAAACATATGCCCACACATGCACACATCATAAAAACCTATAATACTCTCTACATACTGATTTATTTGTGGCAAATTTGCTAGATAGAATTGACTTTGTATTCTAATATCTGTCAAAAAGAAACATGAAAACTGTCACTTAGTTGTAAAATTCAGGGCTTCTGGGTTTATTCAAATTGGACTCTAGAAGAAATACTGTGCTTTGATTTTCTGTACTTATGACTCACATACTATTTTTCATTTCTTTCTAAAATATAACTTATTTATATATATTTTACATCATTGTTCATAGGGTTAGTTTTGACCCATCTATATTACCAAGGGCCCAGTGTGGGGTTTCTAGCAGCTAGCACCTGTCAGTGTTCTCCTAGTAGGTCTCTGGCCTGCAGGAAGTTATTGGTATGTTTTCCAGGACTCTTCTGGCACCAGCCATTATGAATTATTGTAGTTGGGAAATGAAACAACAATCAAAGGATTGATACTAACTGAAGATACTATGTATTTGTATCTTCAAATTTAAATTGTATTCTTTGGAAAGACTTATGAATAAAATGGCACAGAAGTACCAGGATATCTAATAAAACAGGATAATTTAACACTAACTAGGACCTCTAAGCTCTTTATGCACTTGAATCACAGATCCACAACACCATTGGCACATTCTGGAAGGAAATCACCCGATGTAGGACACCAGTAAGGCAGGACAGCCCTTGTCAAATGAGGTGGCCAGGCCCAGTCCTCTCCTGCACCATAAACATGTGGTTATTCTAGCATGAGGTCTTCATTATCTGGAAATATTCAAAGACTCAACCTGAGGTCTTCCTGCTTCATGTGAGGGAAAGGCCCCTGTATCTGGAGTCACGCAGACCTGCTGGTCATCCTGGCCCCTCTATCCACTAGCTTAGTGTCTGGAAAGTCACACACCCTTCTGATGATCAGTCTTATTAGAAAAGTGGGAAGTTCTCAGTCTCCCACACAGTTGCTCAAGAAATGGTAGTTTTCTGACCTTTTCACTAGAGTTCTAAGTCCTGTGTTAACCTCCAGGGTTTACTTTCCTTCAAAGGCTAAGTCTCTCAAAGCTGAAAATACAAGAACTGGATGTTGCCTCACTGCATTCTTTAGATGCCCCCAGGAGAGAGCTCCCCACTCCTTGAAAGGCTTAACTACTCACCACCCTCCCTCTCATCCAGGACCCCTAGGAAGTTTACCTGAGTGGGTAGGATCCACAGAAAGAAGGGTGAGGTCTGACTCCAGGGGGCCTGCGAATCAAAGACATTGAGGCATTTCCCTCAGTCTGGGATTTAAATAGTTTACTGGACCTTATTATTAGAGTTTTTAAGGAGGTTCCATGTCCAATAATTTTGGGAGAGTCTGGGTTGAATAATGTTCAGTCAGGCTCTAAAGCGGCTCTCAGAGCCTATTTTTCAAATTATTTTTTGAGGAAGCACAAGAGATTTTGCTGCCTGTGGACCTAGCTAGACCCTCTCTGTTCTGAAGAGGTCTCCCCTCTGGCTCTGGAGACTAGAGCCTTTTCAGATGAAGATCTTAGTCCTGCCTTGTGGCTTGTCTGTGGGGCACTAGCCATGAACCAGCTGGCCAAGAAGCCCTGCTTTCAGTCTTCCCTCTGTCTGTATGTGTGAAAACTGTCTACTCAGAACCCACAGAACTGGGTTCAGAATCACAGCATGTCCAGTCCCTCCTCTCCCTTAACTGTCTCTGTCTATTTCATGTGCTGGGGCAATTCTAAGGATCCAGGTCTTCTAAAAATTGAACAGAGAACAGTTTCTACAGACGGCTTTGAACTTAGTCCCCATTTGGGAACCACTTTTGGTGCCAAGGATGCATTTGTAGAGGCTTCTTACGTTTTGGCTCTGACTGGGACCTAGGTTTGTCTTCATGAGACTCATGGTCAGCTTTCAGGTCTGAGCTGTGATCCAAAGAGGACATTGCTCAAGCAACTGGAAATGTGACAGGAAGGCAGGACCTGCATAGATCAGAGAATCAGGTAAGAAGCCTCCAGCCCAGGGAACACTCAAGCTGCTTGTGGTGCCTGCTAAACCCTGCCCTGTCTCTACCTGGGAATATTCCCATAATGTCATGGAGCCAGGTCACTCTAGTTCACAGTGGAATTCTACTTAGATTTTAGCCATTAAGGTAATTCTGTGGTTTGCCTGGCAAAAGATATATTATTTTTGGCATTTGCTATATTTTGTTTTGCATGTAGGTAGATTTCCTGGGAATTTTGCTAAAATGCAAATTCTGATTCAATAAATCTGGAAGATCTTGACGTTCGACATGCCAAACAGGTTCTCAGATCACACTCTAAGTAGCAAGGCTCTAAGAAACTCAATTCCAGTGACTAGCAGCAGGGCAGGCTCACACTCAAGCCTCTGTTATGGGTGGAGGACACAGGACCTCATTTTCTTTTGGATCTGCTTAGGGCTTTACAGTCTAAAAGCCCATTTACCCACATGTCCAGTAGATCCTAATCCTGAGACTCAAAGTACATTGGAGGAATATGTTTAGTCCCCTTCAGGTCTGAGCTGTGATCCAAAGAGGACATTGCTCAAGCAACTGGAAATGTGACAGGAAGGCAGGACCTGCATAGATCAGAGAATCAGGTAAGAAGCCTCCAGCCCAGGGAACACTCAAGCTGCTTGTGGTGCCTGCTAAACCCTGCCCTGTCTCTACCTGGGAATATTCCCATAATGTCATGGAGCCAGGTCACTCTAGTTCACAGTGGAATTCTACTTAGATTTTAGCCACTAAGGTAATTCTGTGATTTGAGTGATGTCCTCAAGGTCACAGAGCCAGAAACAAGATAGAAAGAAACAAGTGGAAGAGTCAAATCCAGACCTCCTGATGTTGGAGCACCAGGCAGGAGGTAAGCAAACAGGGGACTCATCTCAGCTCCAACCCCATGGGGCTGCCATGGTACATTACAGAAGCTTGGGGTCACTAGAGACATACTATACAAAAGGGGTTGAGTGAGATCTCAGAGAGCACCAGCATTTTGTGATTCTGAATGACTGGAGGAGTTTTCCTAACTCTGGAGGGACCAGGGCTCTTGTGAACAAGCAGCCTGATTCACTCGGTCTATAATGGGGCTCAACACTGTGTTTCTAACAAGTTCCTAGGTGATACCAATGCTGCAGATCTGGGGACATGCACTTAAAACTGGCTGTACCTTGGATCACATAGGGTGCTTTAAAAGTTACAAACCTTTGGGTCCAATGACCAGTGACTTCCTCCACTGTTCTGGGTGGGGTGCTAGTTGATGTAAGCTCCTAAGAGATTTTAATGTGCAGCCAGAGTTGAGAAACACTATGGACAGGTTGGGCTCCCGGAGAGAATTTACACTATCAGGTGATACAGCTTCCCTCCTAGATTTTCTGATAGTAGGTGAATCATGCTTATGAATTTTTAATCAGTGGAGGAATTACTTACCTGTTTTTCTTTCTTCGATGATTTTATTATTCTTTTGGAAATTCCTTTGGGAGACAAATCTAGCAAGTAAGTTTCCTGGTTACAGCAGAGAATAGAGTGCTAGCTTGCTTGTGTTAGTGGTCAGTGGAAAGTAGTGCGCAGAAATTCTCTTCATTTCCAATGAGTCCAGTCCTCCCCCCATTTGGCCCATATAGAGTCAAGGTTTTCTTACCTTGCTTGGGCATTTGGAAATCATGTTTATCCTACTTAGCAGATTAGAACTGACTCTAAACTGTCACCAAAGGGAAATGAGGTGACTCACATATTCATAAGGATGCCGGGATACTTAAGATTATCCAGGAGAAGAAACATGGACACCATCAGACTCATACAAACCACCAACATTAAATTGTTTCAAACTGAAAACCCAATAAACAACTTAGTCTCAGAGGCTCCGAGTCACAGGGTGTTGTGGACTGAAAAAGCTCAGAACTACTGCTTTAGAAGCTGGAGGTGGTTTTTCTCCAGTACTGCCTTGGGGCAGGCAAATCCTTTTGATGGTGCATTTAGGTGTGGAAGGAAAGTTTGTAAACTGGGATTGGAATATTCTAGGAGAGAGAGAAAACAATAGATTGATCTGCCCTGTAAAGAAAGGAAATGGAAGCTTTTACCAGGCTACTGAGACTGACGGACCGAAGCCTAGTGTTAAGGTCCGAAATCACCCGGTTGCCTCCCTCCACAAAGGACAGAACCAGAGATGCACAAGCAAGCGGAGTTTATTGAGCCAGCTAGCTGGGGTCAAGCTTTCTTACAGGCATGCAGGCTACACAAGGGAAGCAAGACCCTGGCCAGGGGGATGTCAGGGAATATATAGGCCTCATTGGCAGTTACATGAGTCATAGCCCGCGCAAATTCAATTTAGCAAATGAATTCAAAGATTAGCAAGCGTCACAGCATGCGTCACAGTTCAACCACACAAGGGCATGTTTCCAGGAATAGAAGTCTCAGGAGCTGATATCAGAATCCAATTTCGACCTGTCCCAGGAATTAACGCTAGGGTGTGGTATCTGCGTGCATATCTGTCTGGGTTTAGGGAGGAGTCACACAGACAAAGGAAGGTGGAGGGGTGGAATTACTGCTCAGGCCCAACACTAGGAGTAGGGGAAACTGTGGGAAATAAGAGAAAAGGCCTGGGAGCTGGGACCTGGGGAACAAGATGGCCTGGAGAAGTTCCTGACAGTGGTGTCACAGTGGATGTCCACCAAGTTTGTTGGTGATGGTTTGTTGCTTGCTGAATTGCTCTCACCCCCATGTCTGCTAGTTCCTTGCTAGCCAAAGTATAATTTGGACTCAGCAGCAGCAGCATCAGTTGAGAACACTTTAGAAATTAAGAATCTCAGCCCCATTCTAGACTTAGAATCACACTGTATTTTAACAAGATCCTCAAATGATTGTCATGCACAAAAGCACTCAAGAAACACCATGCTAGATGAGAGATTCTCAAGCATTGCTAACATTAGGTATCCCAAGGAACTTAAAATAATATTGAAGCCTGGGTCCCACCACCAGAAATTCTTAGTTAATTGATCTAGGCAGCTGACTCAGTGTCTGGAGACTTAAAAATTCTCCCAGGTGTTTCTGATGTCAAGTTTTAGAACTACTGGGTGGAAAAATTGCTTAGTGAGAGTGCTGATTTTTTATTTTCCTTTTGAAGAAACACTCTCGGTCAATTTGGAATCAACATAGAAAAAACCTGAAATATCTGTGAGCCATGAACGTATAAGCAGATTGTAAGGGGTTCAGGGACTCCAAGAGGTTATCATTGTAATACCGGGGAACAGCGCAGGGGAGGCTGGGTTTCTACCCTGTGTTGGTTCGGGGTTGAGTCAATTCCTACTTATACAATGTAAAAGTGATGACTGACCACCAAAGCCAGGAAGACCGGGAGACATTTAGATGACTGAGATTAGATATTGCCTCACAAGGCTAATGAAATTCACAACATATCTTCAGAAGGCATTCACCCAGAGCATAGGCACACATCACCTACAGAAGAAGTGAGGCTTAGCCATCTGGGATCTGTGACCATCAGTAAAGAATACTCAATGCTGTTCTCCTAAGATACATTCTCTGACCTTCAAAGCCAGTCATTGCAACCTGGGCTAGAGCTGTAAAAAAAAAAAAAAAAAAAAAAAAAATTTTTTTCTACAGGCACCAGGGTGTATACGTGTTCTCAAGCTCTCATCTCTCCTTCAGCCTTTATGGCTAACAACCCACTGATTTCTAGTGTAAATCTTCCTGGGAGAAAAGTCTGCTCCTGTACCTTGAGCAATTTTGTTAGGGTAGATCTTACTTATAAAATTTGGAAAAGTTAGCAAAGCCATAAGGAGGAGATCCTCCTGGTGAGAAAATAGCCGGGCCAAGTCCTTGAGACCAGTTCACGCAGGGTCATAGAAAGGAAACCACTTTAGCTTGGGCACAGGTTTGACAAGGACTGGAGTCACTGGCACCACAACCCAGAGGGGTGTTCCACAAGCCAGGGGGAGCATGACATACCTGGGCCAGGGATGTTGAGCGCCTGCCGCTCCGAGCTGATGTCTGGTGCTCTGGTGTGTCTGAGAGTCATTGAGACTAGCATCTCACTAGGAATGGATAGTGGAAGGGAGTGGGTGGAAAGAGTAGATGGGAGTGGATTGATTTGAAATTATGATCACAAAATTAGTCAATAGGCCCTTGGTAAGGCAGGAAAGATAACCGTACGGTTTGGAACAGTCTTCTCCTTGAAGAGTATGACGCCTTGACTCTTGAGTGGGCTTTGTGATTGTTTGACCAGTAGAACCCAGTGAATTGGTGCCTGTTTCTGGCCTTTTCTAGGTCTTCAGGACTGGCAACTGTCTCATGGAGCACTGTTTTTGTACCTCAGTTATCATTCTGTGAGAAATTCCAAGCAGCCTTATTAAGAAACCCAGATGGGAAGGATTGGGGCTCCCCTGACAGGTCCCTCTGACCCTAGCTGCAAACCAGCAACAAGTCAGCCGAAGGAGGGAGCCACATAAGACAGGCAACCCCGTCAACTGAGCCCTGCCATGTTGCAGCATTATGAGTGAAATATGTGGTTTGTTATGCAGTCATAGAATTGAAACAGAACTTATTAAAAAACAAAAGATTTATGTGATCTGAAGAGAAACAAGAGTATTGGAACAGAATTTAGTACCAGGAGTGAGATGCTACAATAATTAAAGCTTAAAACTTGTAAGCCCAGCCTTGGGTTTGGGTGAGGGGAAGAAGCCGGAAGGTTATGAGTGAGGGATAGAATGCTGCAGGAAAAAAATGATACTCATTCAAGGTGATGGAAAGGTTAGCAAAATTGCCTGGAATAATGTGGAAAATTGTAAGACTTCAGAAATAGTTAAGGCCCCTGAAGAAAGTTTAAGGGCTGGTCCTACAGAAGCCTCCCAGGTGATCCAAGGTAGCAAGAGCTATGTTTTTTTGGTAGTGAAATGTATTACAAATTGAGAATGTATAGCATTTTAAAAAGCATTATAGCTAAAAGTAAAAAATAAAGAGGGCCCCTGGGAGGATCATTTTGTAAGAAACTCTCTCTGTCTACCTATCTGTCTGTCTATCTATACCTGTCTATCTATCTCTCTACCTATCAATCTATCTTTCTACCATTTATCTATCATCTATCTCCTACAAGATGTCTTGTATTCACATCCTAACCCCTAGTTCCTGTGATATGTTATTTTACATGACAAAAGGGACTTAGCCAATATGATTAGGTATTTGAGATGGGGAGAGGATTCTAAATCATCCATTTCAACCAAATGTAATTGCAAGATATTATTATTGAAAGAAAAAACAGAGAGTGAGAATTAGAGTAATACCGTGTTTAAAAAGACTCAATCAGCAATTGCTGGCTTTGAAGATGAGAGTAAGTCATGCAATTCAGGAGATCTCTAGAAGTTAGAAAAGGCAAGAAAACAGCAGATTCTCTACTTACTTGGGCCAGGAATTTCCCCTGTAGATCCTCTAGAAGGAGTGTAGACTTACTTTTGATTTTGGCACAGTGTGACTCACTTCAGACTTCCAAAACTGTAAGAAAATGTGTTGTTTTAGTTAAGAATGATTAAGTATTCAAGATGGAGAGAGGATTCTAAATCATCCATTTCAGCTGAATGTAATTGCAAGATATTATTATTGAAAGAGAAAAACAGGAGAGTGAGAATTTAGAGTAATACAGTATTAAAAAGAATCAGCCACTGCTGGCTTTGAAGATGAGAGTAGGTCACACAATTCAGATGACCTCTACAAGTTAGAAAAGACAAGAAAACAGCAGATTCTCCACTTACTTGGGCCAGGAATTGAGAAGTTTGTGATCCTTTTTTTAAATAGAGGTGATAGCAAATAAATACCCCCAACTTTCTGCAGGCAGGATGTGGGCTGAGCAAACAAGCCAGCAGCGAACACAGCCTATTCCTTATGGAAAGGGAAGTGTAAGAAGGAAACAAACAGGTTAACAGTCAAAGACCCTGAAAACCAGCCCACACACTCTGCAGATGAGCTTTATGTTCCAGATGATCTTTTGTGTTGGTACAAAAGTACCTGGACACTGGGGAAGCAGGTGCAGCTCCCAAATAAACTCCCTATGACCCAAACCTACATCATCATACTAAAAGCCCCACCTAGGACAGGAGTCTTGGCTATGTTTGATCACGTGACATTGCCCAGGGCATGATGGAGCCAGTACTCGGGCCCCACCCTGATCTAGTTATCATGCTGCTACTGAAGGCCACCTTTCCTTACCCCTCTACCCTTGCAAGGTGGAAGCCTCGCTTATGCTCAGAGTGCCACAGCTTTGGGAAACTAGGCCCAGTGCTCAAGTCAGTCTAGTCGGCTTGCTAAAACCTGAGGGTCTTGAACTGTCAAGCCACCAAACCCGCTTTGGGAGGAGTCACAGAAGGATGGCCCAGAGGGTGGAACTGAGGGTCCACACCACTGGGCAGCTCTTTGGCAGTGCTTTGATCAGTCCCTGTCCTGTTCCCTTGAAAAAAATTCTTGGTAGTGCCTGGCTCTACCTCTGGACTGTCAGAACTGCTGTGGCCTCTGGCAGCTCTCTCTTGTGCTCCTATGGTGACCCTGGCCTGTTCACCACTGTGTGCTGGTTATGTATTGTCTCATTAGTTCACAGGCCTTTAGAGTAACATTTTCTCCAGGGAACCATGTCTGAACCTGGACCTTGTTTGCACTAACATCGGCAGCTTTTTCTGTGAAGGACCAACAAGTAAATATTTTTCATTTGCAGGTCATGTGGTCTCTGTCATGGCAGTAGTGCTATGATTATATGGGGGAGGAGGGGAAGAGGGAAATAGATGTGAGACAGTGTGGGGCTTCCTATCCCCAGGTTCAAGCAGTGTAGACTTCATCAATCACCATGTTCATCTTCTGTGGCCAACAGATACTTGTCCTTGATGACTTTACCAGCCTCCCTGGGGCAGAGAGAATTTTTGTTAGGGATGCAATACAATTGGTTTTCAGTGTTCCCAGGAATGCAGTTGGAGAAATAAATGTTGTTTATGAATTAAAAGTTACCACAGGGAGGAGTTTAGGGAGAAGAGAGGATTAAAAGGTAGTCAGAATTTAATTCTTCTTAGTTCTACTTTTCTAACAAAAAATTTAACCTACAAGTTGGAAGGAATCTGGCTACACCCATGTGCAGGGTTTTTGAGCCAGCATAGGCTCAAGCCAGGACTGTTCCAGAGCCTTACTGAGAATCTGCAGTCAGCCGATGTCCTGGCGCCCTCTGCTGGCTCCAGATGGGCAGCTCTGACAATAGCTCATCCAGGGTGGAGCTAGAAGTCCTGAAGGTGTTCCAGCATGACCAAAGCGCAGCCTGAGGTTCCAGGGTGACCAAAGGGCAGTCTGAGGGTTTCCTGACCACCAGGCCCTTTCTATATCAGGATCTTGGATAGGCCAGTGACCAATGATGGTTCTTCAAGGGGTTTGTGATGAACCAAACATTTGCATTCACAAAGTTACATGGGTCTCATGATAGAGTTTAAATTTGCTGGGGAATGGGTGCTGAAGGTTTACCCATGAAAGTGGTGTGACTGGACCTGCAATGCACAGAGATTTCTTGGCTACTTTGAGGTGGATAAGCTGAAGCCCTGAGTGGCTTGAGGTGGGTCAGGAATCCATAGAGTAAACGGTGGCCAGAGCCTTAGGTGCACACATTACATGTCTCTCCCTGCTCAGTGTCTTGAGGGCTCTTCAGTAGTGTCTTGTCCTTTATCTTCTGGTTGGGTTCCAGCAGTGGTCGATCAAAGGGAAGGAGGAAAGTTTAGGCGGTGTCCCTCTCTCCCTCCAAGTTGGCAGCGAAGGTGTGCACATAGGTTACAACCAGTCCCACAGTGGTTTCCAACTGTCAACAGCTGCCTCTCCTGCTTCACCATGTCCTGTTGCTTTCTCTGGACCTGCCTGCACCTCTGTAATTCCTCCCTTATTTGCCTTCTCCTTGCATGTAAGCCAACCTCATCCCGCTAATGAATTTGAACATTATTTCCCAAGCAATAGGGTATTCATTGAAGGTTTCAGTGAAGTTAGTGGTAAGTGCAGATATGTATTCTGGAAAGATCTGACTAAAGTGAGCAGGACAGCCCAGATCAGGGAGGGCTTGAGGCAAGCAGACCATTAGGTGGCTGAGCAAGAATCCGGCTGATACAGGGAATATGGAGCCCACTATAATCTGCCACCTGGGGCAAGGGAAGCCAAGCATGGGATGAACATGTCTTTTCTGGTTGGGTTCCAGCAATGGTCAATGAAAACTGTGCCTATTACTTGATAGTTAACTTCAAAAGCTGGAAGTGTAATGTTTGGTTTTTCAGGGTTGTAAATTGATTATGTTACATCCTTTGTTCTGCTTGGTCCTCCCAGCCCCTGCCTCTTCCATGCAGACCAGGCTAAGGAACTGGCCTCCTTGGTGTTCTTCCTCCATCTTTCTGGCACGTAGTTTCATCCTAGGCTAGTATCCAATTGAAGCATGAGCCACATATGGAGTTTTCAAAGCCGTAGTAAGCATAAATAGGTGAAACTCAAAGTATACCAGAATTATTTTTTAGAAATTTTATGAAGGAAAAGAAAACCCAAAAAACAAGACCAAAATACCCACCAACACTCCTTTCCTGCACTCTCTCACCTCTACCTCTTTTCCTCTGGTAGTCTCAGTTCGGTGATCAGTGGTCCACTAGTTTGTTTTATTTAGCACAATCACTTTGTTCGCTTTACTTCCTTATATTCCAACATATATGTGAAATCATTTAATATTATCTTTCTGGCTAAGTTGGCTTCATGTAGTCCTCTCAAGATCCTTCATTTTGGTGCATATGGCAGAATATCATCTTTCCTTGTAGCTGGGTAGTATCCCGCTGTGTGAGTGCCACGACTTTATCCTATCTTTATTCCGTATCTTAGCTACTGTGTATAGTGCTGTAAAAAACATTGTGGAACATATAGATTTTGAAGGTTGATGGTGTTGTGTTCTTCAGCTAGATGCCCAGAAGTAGGATAGCTAGATCCTATGGTATTTTTATTTTTAGATTTTTTTTTATTTTTAGATTTTAAAGGAAA